AGAAGAAGGAAGAATTCATTGGACTGTGCGCAAGAGCTTGGGATCTATTTCACTCATGATGATACCCGGCCTCGGCTTTGATCTCGATAATTACTATTTCAGCGACAAACTTGCAACTTATTCTCATCTTTACGGCGCAACATCACTCTCGCTTTACCACTATTATTCTTCAGCCATGCAGGTTCGCTTTCAACACTGCAACTTATTACCCCTTCGTATTCGCAATGTTTGATTTCAATACGTCTTTGTAAAAAGCGCCAGCGGTCTAATTCCAGACCCGCGGGGTTATACCCAGACACACGCACGCACCGCCATTTCCATATGTTGTTTCCTTTTACCATCTTCTCAAACCTTGAGTTCGAGTCTATTCTGGAGAGATTATGTTCATATGAGTTCAAGGATGATGGGCATTTTCGGCAAAGCAACTGTTTTGCTATACGTGGCTGAGGCCGTCTTGAAACACACCATGTCTCATGACCATTCTCACTTTTCTTCCTTTCCTTTTTTTGTTCTCTCTTTCTACTTCGCCACTGAAACCGAGACTCCTTTTTGAGGCGGTGGATCTTTTTTTTTGGTTCTTGTTTTGGCATATCCCGAATGTGGAGGAAATACCTTTTTCGATTTGTTGAGGGTTGTGTGTTAATTCTGTTAAGCACGCGCAAATGTCTAGTGGATCGGCGACAGAGAGGCAGGACAACAGTTGAATCGGAGTAGCGCTCACGCACAGTGACGCACTTTACCCTAGCTGCCACAATAAGAACGTTCAATTTTTGCAACGACGATCTTCAACTATGATGGTTTCGGTGTCGTGACTACGTGGTTTGCATGCGTTGATTGGTGACACGCGACAATACGTTAGTTTGACCGACTAGACTACGAAAGACTATTGGACGACAACACATCGTATTTTTCTAGTCTTGCAAGTCGGTGTGCTTCATACATGTACCTCAGACAACGAATGCGCAGAAAAGACACCGAGACAGTCTAGCCCCCGGTATACCTAGGTACCAAGACCACCGGATTCAACCTCACACCGCACACGTGAGACTACACGTATGTATGCAATGCTAATCATGCTAATCATCCCCCCTGTTCTCCACCCAACACACACACGCGACAATAGCAATGACGCGCATCACACTTCTCAACATGCTAGGAGGTGGGAGGAGGAATTGCGATATTCACCTCTCCTGTCCATCATTTCGTCATCGTAGACTTTGTCTCCTCCGCGGATGTTGTTGATCTCTCTCTGTCCCCGCTGTTTTCTGTATCAAACATGCCTGTACGAGCGCGAAAATCGTAGATCTACTTGAGATCGGAATATGCAGCCCTACGCCGGGTCTATGTAACAGATTGATGAGCATACAGCGGGTTGGCAGTTGTCACGAGACTACCATGACCGACCGCGTTTGGCGGGCAAATCGCATCCGTGGGATAGACAGGTGGGACAGGGTAGGAGACGGAGGGACTTCGGTGGGTTGGCAGGTGTGATGGATGTGATGGATGTGAAGTTGGTGATCTTGAAAGTCTTGAGCGATGAGAGGGATTCGGGATGTGGAGGTTTTCAGCCATGGACAGAATATCCATCTCGTGCGACAACGACGCATTGTGGTGATGATCTTGAAAGCAATAGTCCAGTTTCCCACCCGTCCTTGACAACATCTCGGGCAAAAACCCACGCACGACAACCATCCATTATCGTATCGCAAAATTCTATCATCACCACTAGGATACCTTTCCCCTCTCCTCTCCTCTCCTCTCCTCTCCTCTCCCTCCATCACCGCATCATCATCCATTGACATCCAAGTACCAAGCTTACCAACCCACCAATTTATCCCAGCACCCAGCACCCATCACTCGATTCCCCACTTATCCCATCACTCGCTACAGCCTGTCGCCTTACCCTAGCTAGTTTCGAAACAAACGTCGTTAGCCCGTGAGTCAGTTTTCCATTGATCAATTTGACGCAGGGACCCTCATGGGTCTGTTCTTTCTGCTAGTGCGTGTGTGTGCTGGTCAGGGATAACATGAAACAGCCGCTGGTTAGCTTCGGAGGTGGGCGTAAAGCGGAACGGGCTCTATGCTAAGGAAATGGATGAGTGATTATGAAGGTATTGCATGGGATGAATGGGGTGGGATGGGAGATGAGAAGGGTGATGTGCATTTGGGTGGGTGACATGCTATGGGAGATGGAGAGGGGAGGTGGGAAATATAGTTGAATTGGAGATACCCGTGTGTGTGGTTAGGTAGCCAGAGGAGAAACAACAGCCGTAACAGACCAACACGGTAGTAAACGTCTATCCCGCCATCTAGCGCGTGATGCGCGATGGAAAACGTCACCGTCACGTATGTTGGCTGGGTGAAAAGGCGCGTCAAGGTTCGAGCGCCACGAACGGAGGGATACGTCGTATTGTCAAAACTACATCGGGCCTCGTGATCACGATGCTCAATTTCTAACAAGGACAATGCGGCTCATCAGCTCAGACCAGGATATCCCCATGTTCGCACATCTTCTCGAATCTCGTTGACACCACGCATCTCAGCAGCGGTTTCCCAGTCCCTCAACTCGGACACGGTCGGTACTAAAATGTCAGATCTGACGATTACATATCCGCATGGGCATGGGCATTGCGCGCTTGGTGCCTCTTCTCTCTTCTCACCGCCCTGCGCAAATCAATTATTGTTCCATAGCTTTTCTCGCCAAAGTTACGTGTTGAGAAATCTTTTGAGTTGGACAAGCTGTGCAGGGACTTCTGTGCGCGCGACGCGTTTTGTTGGTCTTGTTGATGGGCTATTGAATTTTGAATCGGCAGCAGGGTTCGGCGCCCGATGTAGGTCCTTTGGCACGCGGAAGTTTCCTGGGGTGGGCGTGCGTTTTTCGCTTTCTCGCTTGGTCGGTTGATTTGCCGGAGGCACGGGCGCGGCGAGATGTGGGATGGAGGAGGATGTGGAAGAACGCGCTTCTGGAAGGAGGGTGATGACTTTAGGTGCTGTTGTGTCGTGCTTGCAGTATGGTCGCAACATCCGGATGACTGTAACGTTTCGCGCGTTCGATCATCTGCTCATTGATCTCGGCCCCAACGTCGACCAGAAATCGAACCATTGATACCAGCGATGCATCGGCAGCCGCCCACAAGGCATGTTCATTGACGATAGCTCCACGTTCGACCAGGTATCGGCACAGTGCCTCGTTCTCCGTAAGCATGGCGTGCGCCATCAGCCTGTCTTCTGTCCACCTCCAGTGCTCCTTGCGACCACTCGATGGGAGCCGCGGTGTGACACGCATACCGTTCTCTACCAACATGCGCACTATATCCAGACGCCCTCGTTTTACAGCTACTTCCAAAGTATCGTTGTCAAGGACCCTGGCATCCGCACCACGATTTAGAAGCAGGCGAAGGATTTCCTCGTTGCCACCTTTGATGGCTTGTTCAAGCAGACTGTCAGAACCAGTGTAGGAGGCTTCAGCTCCTCGTCTTTTGACATGCGCCTTCTGTTTAAGTAAAGCTCCTTGCTCGAGAAGTCGTTCTGCCACATCGACTCTTTGCGGGCTCTTCCGTGCGACGAGGCACAAGAGTGTGTCGTGTCCAGGATGGACGGCTTCGATACTATGGGTTTTCATCGGACGAGAGGCTATCAGGCCAAGGAGCTGAGTGACGAAATCGGCCGATGGACTTTTGAAGACACCGGACACCAGTGTATGCTGATTCAAACTGTGAGTGCGATATGGCCCCTTTCCGGGCAAGTCCCAACGCGGCTCCATGATGAACCTCACTACGTCCAAATGGCCCCCTCTCAATGCAGCCTCAATGACTTCATGTCGATGATATCTTGACTCTTGTTGGAAACTCGGATGCAGGAAAACCTTTTCGAGTAACGCCGTGTTCCCGTTCTCAGCGGCAACAGAGGCAAGGTCCCGTTGACAGTCTATTGTTACTAGTCCATTCTTGCGCGTCCCGCACGGATTCGACCAGGGAGTGAGACAGTGCGATATAATCTCGTCCAAGATAGGGTCATTGAGCAGAGAATTTACTCCCTCTGGACAGTCGTTGAGTATGGCCATCTCCAGAAGGCATGCTTGATCGTACATTCGACACTGAATTGGATCTTTAGAACGTGCTCTCGACAATATGCGCACTGGATTGCAACAGAAGACATGGATATATTGTCGCAAGACCGTGTGCAGTGTTTTCTCGTTAGTTTCCTGGGGATGGCTAATCCGGCGAAGACGCTCGGCGGCGCGATATATGCGTTCGCATATATCCACATGGGCCCATTTCTTCCCTATGATCTTGTTGGTGAGGGATGTCTGCCAAAAGGCGACAAACTCGGGCGAGTGGGAGAAGCCAAAGCAATATCCATGTACGTCGTCCAGTAGCTCGGATTCTTGGAGCGCATCTTTTACTTGTTGAGAGAACTCCTCTGCCGAAGAATTAGCAGGCGGCATTACAGCTGCGCGTTAACTGCTGTTGCATACTGTTCACCAGCCTCAATCGTAACCCTCGCTTGAGACCTCGGACGTCGACGGCGTGTATCAGAACTGTGCGCAGTATCTCTGCTGGTAGTGCAAGGAGGTTTGCCATAATGCGAGTGACGGGGTGGTGGGGGAATATGGACAGGCAGGCGGGATGTTCATCTGGGGATTGCGCAGTTGTACTTGCCTTTATGCATTACGCTAGACCAGTTTCACTCCAGGCATCAGGCAACAGGCAACGCCACCTGCAGCCACAGATCAGAAGAGGTACTACACGGGCGAATTAAATACACTTACGCGCAATGTTTCTGACAGCTATCGTGATGCATTCGAGCGCATTTGACATTGCGAAGGTATTTGACTTGGATCGTCTCTCGCGAATACTGTACACTGCATGCGTATGCGCAAGCTCGTCGCTGCATCGCCTCATACCCTGAAAACCCTGAACAGATCTGCAGCTAACATTGAGATGCAAACATGCAAAGTAGTCGAACCAAGGCCAATGTAGGCTCCAGGATGATCGAACTCATCCCTCGTTAAGTATAGTAGCCTCCGGCATCTCTGCCTTCCAGTCCCTCACCGCCCTTGCGATTGACACCTCCGTACCTCGATTGCTCTTCATCTGCTCACAGGTGTAAAAGTAGTTGGGCCAGATATGGCCATTCTTGTCCGCCGAGATAGCTTTTGTCAGCGACTCCATGGGGGAGAACGCGAGAAGCCTCAGGTTCGATGCCCGATCGCCCACGTAGCGTACGATACTGTCCGCTCGAGCCTGGAACGCGTAGCGTTGCTCTCCGCTCTCGAGTGATCGGCGGAAGAAGCGCATGAACTCTCCTTGGCGGTGGTAAGCTTTGCGACAATTGGGCGGGTTGGTCAAGCGTAGTAGTCGTAGGCTTTTCATGCTGGCGATAGCACTCAAAGCCCTCTCGAACTCGGTTGATGCTGGAAGTACGGATATTTTTGGGCCGAGGAAGTCGCCCTCTGGACTATCTGGATCGATCTCGTACAGGTTGAGGCATAGTTGCTCTAGGCTTGGACATGCGATAGCGACCTTCCGCAGGTCTTCCACGCTCATACATCTGTTGGCATCTTGTCGGTGGATACCTCCGTTGACGATGAGTAGGTCCGTGAGCGTCTCCCCGTGGTTGATGATGCCATCGACATCGATCTTGACGCAATTGCCGCACTCGAAGTGTAACTGGCGTAGTCCGTGGAAAGAGCATAATAACAACTGTAGCTGTGAGAGGATGTAATCTGACGCGTCCTCATTCACCAGGAGAAGTCGCAGCTTCCTCAGAGAGGGTTCTCGCTTCTGGAATTCAGAGCACATAGCTTCCAGCAACTCAGCGACGCGTCCGGTATGAACAAGGACGAGCTCGGTGAGGGCAATAATGTCTATCCGCTGGAACATGGTGCTAAAAGTCGCAGGGAGCATAAGAGCACTGATGCGAAGGCTGCTTAATTGAAAGCTGACCATGTCCGACTGCGTCGTGTCTGATCCACCTTGCGAGACTGCAGAAGTTGTATCGACCCCGAAATGACCTTCTTGCAAGCTGATTGACGTCGACGTGACAGATTTGCTCTGCGTCATATAGATATGCGTCAGCTTAGGACATCGCACCCATAGCTTCCGAAACTCTCGTGGGGTGAGAGTATTTATAGAGACTTCCATCCGGGTGAGGCCTGATAAGGATGAACCAGTCCACGGCGATTGTAGTATCTGCGACATCGAGGTACCAGGGACGAGAAAATGTTCGAGTTTCGGGTGTATCTGGAGTAGGAGCTCGAGCGTACTGATAGGCACGCCGCTTCCGCTTTTGAAGCCACATAGTTGACCGCGAGGGATGGCGGCCAACAATGGTGGCAACTGGTCCGCTTCTTTGAACGCGTTCGGTCTGTCCAGAAGGTTGATTTTGCGGACGTGCTTAACGATGTTCGAGGCGGGAGACGCTAGACCTAGCACATTTCGCGAGCCAGTCTTGGCCAGGAGGTCGGTAGTAAAGATCTCCCACATGATTGGCATCACTACGACCGCCCAGTCTCTGCTGAGCAGTGACATGGTCTTTCGGTCCTGGAGCGCGGGTAGGTATCGCACCACTGCGCACTTCAGCTCCGCGGGCAGTCGGCCAATATGATCTGTCGCCATGTCGGCAGAGTTTGCAGACTACAATAGGGTGGAACAAGCAAATCTGAAAATCTGGCGTCGATGTAGGCTCCAGGGTGTTCGCGTTATGCTTTGATTAATGTGTCGGTGGGCGCCGATGATCTGGGTGGACCGCGAGGTGTCCGCGATGTTTTGGGCTATCGAAAGTATGCAACCATGAGGGCGAGGGCGAGGGCGGTTGAGCGACCAAGTGTAATGCCAAGGCTCGGTAATGCGATATCACCGTGAGAGCGGTGTTGTGACTTTCACTATCCCAAGGTGGAAGGGCTTGACGCGCAGGAGCGCGCTCCAGGCGTAAGCACGGTGCCGGGGGAGTAGCTGCCCAGCCATTGTCTTGTAGGTGTCCATCACACGTAGTTTTGCAAAAAAAGAAATGGCTGCTGCCCGTAGCTGTGTCTTCCCCACGAGCTCAGGGTTAAAGAGAATGGACAGGAAAAAAAGGCAAAAAGAAAGTCGTAAAATCTCTCCAACTGGGAATTGAACCCAGGTCTCCCGCGTAATTGTCAAGAGCCAGAAGGCCGAGATGACAAGCGGAAATACTGACCACTATACTATTGAAGATTGTTGTTTCGATGAGAGAACATGCTTTTAAGCCGGAAATATGACCGTCATGCGACGCGAGCGAGGTAGCACGCCTCCACTTTGACAGCGCAGTTGGAAGGTGGTGGCTAGAAAGATTGCGATGAGAATTTTTGGACTGTGGGGTCGAGATTGTGGCGGAACAGATTACTGGTGGGGCTATCCAACTCTTCCTAGAATCGCAGGAGCGATTGCTCACATCCAATGCAAGGATGTGTCGATTCAAGTGCTTACTTATTGGCGAAGGGTGTGCAGCACATCGTGAGTAGTATCTTGAAAGAGGTCGACACTGTAGCCTGATCTCATCATGAACGTTTCATGCTTGATGGGGAGGACAATAGACTACACGATCTGTTATGAGCGGACCATGCGTCCAAACTGGCAGATCTCGTCGCAAATTCGAAAGAATGAGCTGTGATTTGCACGACCATGGCTATTATCGGTACGGGATGATGCGCGAACGTCTACAGACTTATTCAGCATGAGCTTAGAAGGTCTGGAGATTCCCACATCATGGACTGATCGTGCCCTGTGATACCTACTCAGGATCTTGGTATATCGAAAAGTGTTCGTTTTGTCTTACAGTGAAGAGACCAGAAGAATCGAAGTACTTGTAAGCAGCGCTCACGAAGAACCTTTGGTGGGAGAAGTGAGGTTGCGAAATGACGATCTTCCCGTCTTATGTAATCTGGCACTTAACTAGCATCCTGGGCTGCTCGCGCGCCCAGCGATCTCTCACATCTAGCCACACCCTTGCTCAACCTACCTGGGTACTTCACACCTACACGCATCCTACACGCGCGTTACTGCGCATCATGGTGTGCACGCTTCATGGACAACATGCACCATTTTGTACGCGCAACACAACCACCAGGATCCTTATCGCGCATCACGACACCGGTCGTCTTAACCCTGGAACGGACTGAGTACCCACGCGCAGAACGCCTTACTGAAGACATGCATTGTACGGAAGGTCAGCGAAGACTTTTAGCAACATAGCTTGCGGACGGCGTATACTTACAGCTTGCATTGGTGAACGTTAATGTCGCATCGCAGTACAACCTCGGAAGCCTCGGCCCCTCTACTCGTCCTTCGCAGTCCAATGACCCCCAACCACGTAGATCACTCGCGCCTCACGATCCGCAATACATACAAGGAGAAATAGAGGAGCAAGCACAAGGCCTTCAGAGCACGGCCTGGTGTTGCATCGGTGGCTTGCCTGATGCTCCAGACATCCAATGCGCTCGGTCATGAAACGTGGACATCGTACTGAGAACATATGCAAGTATGTCAAGGGAACATACACGGCCCAGAACGCATGAGAAACATGTTATCCGGCCTGCGGTCCTCGTGACCATACGTTTCAAGGTTTGTCCGCTTGCTGCGATGACGCCAAACCCCCCGTGAGCTGTATAAAGCGGTTGCGATTACCCCGCAATAGTAGCCTGTTCTTGCATCTCTCAGTCGACGCAGAACTTCCGCTGGAATATCAGATGGCGAAGAGCAAAGGGAAAAGAGGCAAAAGAGCGAATCCAAAAGCTCGAGCTCGCGCGACAAGCCCGGATATCATGTCGGAGTTCTTCGAACTTCCGGCAGAACTTCGCAACATGATCTATGACGAACTTTGGAAGATGAACAACCGCATCGCAGCCTATCATACGCATAGTCAGACTGGTATCCTCGCTTATTACGATGGAGCGGTATTGGACGAAAGCGACTTGACAACTCGGGAGGCTTGGGACGCAGCTAGATACGAAGAACCTCCGTGGCGTCCAGGTCAACACGCCTGTTTACCTATCTGGCTGTTGACGAGTAAAGGATTTCTAGACGAAGCTATTGATGTATTCCGGAAACAGGCGCATTGGAACCTCTGGCCGATAGAATCTATCGACGTTCGCAACCATCGACTAGATGCACCAGACACGATGATTATGAGCCCCAAATTCGCCAACTGCATGTCATTCGCTCGCCTGCCGTTCGATCGTCCAGTCCATACGTTCTCGATCATTCACCGATATGATGGCACAATACATCTTACATTCGCAAGAAATGAGGATGAGTGGCTTCGATTGCTGGTTAATCACGTAGGAAATGCACCGCAAGCCCACTCGCTCAAAGTCGCTCTTGCGATTCCCAGTATCGGCTTTAGACGCGACGACATGCAGTACCGCGGGGTGAAATTTCGTGTCAAAGTGCATTTCCCCTACAGTCAATTCATCCGGGTGTGCACTGACCTCCAGACGCTCGAAATTGAGCTCTTCCATCTTGATGACTTTGCTGGCGAGATACTGGATATTGAACTTCTCGACCAAGTTCGTGCGCAAGTCAAAGCGCTCCTAGGAAATGACTTTACCGAAGTTGTGACGGCGACGGCGACTACGGCGCACGGAGGATACTTTGACGACCGACAGCTGTTTGACCATTTCCTGGTTTACAGCAAGACTTGAGTGAAGAGCATGCGGAAAGACCTTTGAACGAATCAGGAAATCGTCATTCCATCAACAGATTCATTGCATCTGCGATGCGCGCGTTTCTTCTGCAGTTGGGACCCGTACTTTCGATGGAAGATTGTGATGTGAGCGCCTAGTGCCAGCGCGTTAAGTGTTGACACAGCTCCCAGTCGATATTTCCTTTCACCATTCGATTCAACACTGGGCAACGTCTATAACTATTGATGCTGATCACAAAGTACAGCGATTAGAGAGATGACAGTATTGATAACGTCACTTCTGGAATCTCGAAGTACAGTCTTCAACGCCGCGTAGTGTCCTGGCCAACGCCTTGGACAGAGGGCCCTCCAGGCGCCCTCCTGCAGAGCGGCTTTCGTTGTCCGTCAAGACTCGTTGCTTTCACCGGAGCGAGAAGTCAATGCGTTCAACAGCAGACCTGTGCACGCCCGTTGCCTGGTAAAAGCGGACCTGTATATACAGCAGTAGCGTTGCTCGTTTCTCTGAGTTCTTTACCTTCAGAGCACTGATCTTATCTCTACTCACATAACTGGGCTACTTTCAACCATACATTTCCTTGCGAATCGCGCAACCGACAAGCGTATCAAGCTCCTACGATGACGGCGCCTGCCATGCTCGACCATACGACGGTCCTGCCGACTGAGCTTAGACATATGATTTGCGAACTTGTAAGCAGCTATAAACTCTTCCTATCTTTGTGCGATGTGACGTGCAGTTGCTAATGGAACTATAGCTCCCAGTCGATGATCAAGTACATGCTCGTCTGGTCAACAAAGCATGGAGTTCTGTAGCTGGCACGGTACTTTGGAACACATTCACTACCAATCTCTGGGAGGGCAGCACGATCGATGCGCTACTTCGTTCGGATGATATCTTAGACATGATCAAGGACCTGGATATTCACGGACACAATTATGAGGAAGGTCATTTCCCCACCACTGCGGATATCTCAATTCGTTTTCTTGAGCTTCTGTGCGCGCTACCTCGAAACAGCCTTCGAGCGTTCACGACCACGCTAAATTTTGACGAACGTATGGTTGGTCTTATACTCAAAACTCAATCCCAGCTATCGAAACTTTCGTTTCCTTCAACGACTTTGCACGACAAGCTACTCAAAGGAAATCTAGACAAGCTGGAAGATTTGACACTTCTACCACAAGAAGCAGATCGCCATGCCGATGCCAAATGTTTGGCTTTCACTCCCGTTCTCCGAAGACTCGCAATCAAACCCAAGGCTCAAGATGCACATAACGGAAGACCCTACTCGTGGAGTATGCCAAAACTGGAAGTGCTCTTGGATCTACGCAATCTCGAGATCCACTCTGCTTTCATCGAAAAGCAAGAAGATTGCTTCGGCGGTATGACCAACCTGAGTAGCCTACAAAGTCTGCTTCTGAGTAACTGTTCGGATATGCCGCGCACCGTACAGTGCCTCGCCGATGAGTTTCTCAAATGCGACAAGCCCGCACTCAACTCAGTCATCTTCCGACAATTGAGCGTCCTGGGAAGAGAGAAGCCATTTAACACCGAGATCGAATACTTTCTTGAAGCCGTTCCGACACTCGAGACTCTCTGCATCACCACAATCAAGGCCATGCGCCCGTCTATTGCTAGCATCTGCCGTCATGGAGAATCTCTGCGCTACCTGCACATTGATCACTTCCCCAATCTTCACGACTACAGAGGTCTCTATACGGGAAACGTCGAACGTTATACGCCTGAAGAGCTTGAGAGGCTCGTGGCAAGTTGTCCGCACATTGAAGCGCTCAGTCTTAATCTTGTTGATTGGGACCTTGTAGACTATACTGCATATGACACTTTCAATGTGCACGATACTGGACGAGGTTTACAGGAGGATGTGAAAGTTTCCGATCTTTTAGTAGGTGCTCCACGATGACGCCAACATTGGCCGTGAATGACACACTGACTTCATCATAGCTACCTCTCACCCGGCTACGCAACCTCCGCAACCTCCGTATCACCCATCCTTTGTTTCAAGTACAAAATGAGGACGAGGAGGAGATATATGACTACAACATCCACAAACATCATCTCCGCTATCAACAAGTAGCCAATGTCATCATGGAGTTTTTTGCGGACCACAAATCGTCCATCGAGATTCTTGCCTTTGGTCCGGGCTACTGGCCAGAAGATACATACTCGTCGGCAGGCTTCATGGACATGAATGGGCATTCATTTCCCGATTTCTCCTACCGTCGCGGAATACTGACAGTAGCAATGCGCGGAGGAAAGCAGGTTTCGCGTGCTCTTGCTGTTCCCATGCTAGGACAAGGCCAACATGAGGATATGCTTTTCTGGAAGTAAGCGACTGGAGACAAAGGTGGCCGGAGGATATTCGCGGTGTGTTATGGTGACAGAGTCATGAGATGGAAGACAATGCGTCCTTTGGTCTAATGTGGTCGATACATATCAGGAAGCACGAGTCTCTTTGTCGCGCCCCTAGTGTTCGGGAGAGTTATGGGCGCATCATGTCAGCTTCTAGAGTGTAGCGGATACCGCATGTTACTGTACAGCTAGGAGAATAGTACCAAAACGTTTCAATATCATAATCTCCATGTTCGTGTCCATTCCCCAACTCCTGCGAAATGCGCGAAATATTGTGATGAGTTTTGGGCGCACAGCTCGCAATGACATCACGCGTCGGGCTTTTCCAAATGTGGATAGCGTGGCGCACGGGTGCTTGCTGAAGTCAATCTCCGAGCCCCCGAGACGCCTGTTCTTCCACCATCATCTCGCACCATACAGTCGCCTTACCGCCAGCTCTTCTCGGTTTCAGCAAATCTGTAGATACCTCTCGTCTCAGTCATATGGCGTCCCAGGTTTACCATCGTCGCGTGATTGTTCTGTCTCGCGACGCGTCCCGTTCAGCCTTCGGTACCCGCTAACCTGACGTACCTCGAACGCTACCAGGAGATGGGCAGTGGTGCTTCCGACAGCTATTCATGAGGCTCATTAAGGAATAGTATGACCAGATATTGGTCGCTTGATGCAGTGCTGGCAAGCACTTCCATCATGATGTCTTCCGGACGCGCTTTACATTGGGCCCGACTGGAACCACATGAACAAGTGACTGCAACGCCTTCACTAACTTGGGTATGCAATCTGCAACTGATTATTCAGGTCGTGAGTGAATGGGAACTTACTCACGTTGGTCACGCCGCAGCCCTTTGTGGCTGACTTCGATTTCACTCATTCTACGCTCCTGCCGGTGCAGGGACCAACGCGCGCAAAAATCGAATAAGAACCTCACCCGCACCGGCTCTACTCCTCATCGACCGATCAACTGACCACACGACTCTACCCTGGACTGCACCATAACCAGCGAATTCATCAACCAAAATGCCGCAAGCATCGGGCGAACTCGACATGGCCCTAGTACCTAGTGTCCAAGGTTACATTGGAAAGCTACCACAGGAGCTGCGGCTCCAGGTGTGCGAGCTGGTAAACTATCAGCAAGATCAAATACTGTCATGATGCTAATGCAGATGCAGTTGCCAGGCCATGCGCTCAAGAACCTTGGACTGGCCAACAAACGATGGCGAAAGTCTAGTTCGACTGTGCTCTGGAAGACTTTCAGCTCCCATCTCCAGGAACGAGGTCGCGATTTCGACGCGCTACTGTTATCTCCACCTAATGGATTTCTCGATAACGTCAGGAATCTTAAGATTACGTCTTTTGATGTCTCCGAGAAGGTGCTGCAGCTGATCGCTGTCCTGGCCCAAAACACATTACGCACCGTGGAGCTACCGACTGGGGACCCCAGGGCCTTGGGCCTTTTGATTCGCTCTCAAAATCTGATTGAAGAGCTTACATATCAGCACCCTGGACTGCGGCATAGCCGTCCGGACTCTCGCTTCCTTGTAGGCAACTTGAATAAGCTTCGAAAATTGACCATTACACCCGCCAAAGATGACGACTTTAATGCTTGGCTTCTCAACACACCAGCTTTGGAGACCCTTAATATTGCACACTACAACGGGTTCAAGCCATCCAATCCCGAATTACGAGACTTGGCTTCTCTTAAAAGGTGGAAATGTCCTAGTACTTTCATACCTCTGAGGCTTCGACACCTTCGCCTGTCGTACATCAACCTATTCGATGGCCCTTACCATCTGGGGAAGATCACTGATCTCCAGTCTCTTGCAGATCTTGAGATAAGCTACTGTATCAATGTCTCGTCCTTTTTAGAGCATTTGAGCATTGAATACTCCGCACTGGACAGCTTCGCTTTGAAGTCGCTGTGTTTGATACAATCTTTCGAAGAACCAGACTTAGTCAAGTTCTTAAATCAGTTTATCGGATGCTTCTCAGGCCTGGAGAGGCTGTTTGTCGCGACTCGGAATCCTCAGCATGTCAATGTCGAGAAGATATGTCGACACGGACAAACGCTACGACTTCTCCACCTGGATCCGTTGTATCGTCCATATCGCTTTCCGCTATCCGAAGCCAGGAACCACTTCTACACGGCTACCGAGCTCGAGACACTTCTAGTTGGATGTCTAAAGATAGAGGAGCTCGGTATTCATGTCGCTGCTATCGACATCAGGTCTATGACCCGTGGCGTACCATTCCTGTTTCCTCGGAACGAAGACCTTGCAAAGGCTTTGGACGTGATAGCCAGATTTCCTCTGCTTGGCAGCTTGCGTTTTACCCATTTGCTAGCACTGGAGGAGAACATTGAATTCGACAATCCAGTCGAACACGCGGTGCAATACTGTCAGTTAGCGACCGAGGTCCTACGATACCTAGCAGCGCGAAGTTCGCCCGTCGAGGTTTATGCTACCAGTCCTACAGTCGCCCCGGGTTACCTTGACATGGCAAAGGACTTCCATGGTCATCAGTGGCCTCACTACTACTACGTACGCGGATCAATGACCTTACCCTTCCGCGGCCAACACCGCACCGAAGTCGTGGTGGTAACAACCAAGGAGGAGGATATCGCAGACTACGTCCGGCGTCCAACAATCTTATTTAGGAAGGAACCGACCCCTGAAAATGCGCATTGATGTCAGCTGGTCATGAGAGAACCGCATTTGCGCGGTACTGTGCTTTATCAGAAACATCTTCGAATGAGATATGGCGGGTCTGGCATAACAATGCCCTGCAACGAAAAGGGATGCGCGCCTTGAACACCACTAGCCACCGAATGAGGGACGTAAATGACGGGATGGAGGACCATAAATGACTGAAATTGAGGAAGGAGCGGGTAGCAAGCGTGAATGAGTATGTATTTACCCTTCGGCAGCTAAATATCTGTTCTTTCCCACATCGCTTTGCACCCCAACATCAGTACCAATTCGACAGTCACAGCAACAAGAGCAGCTTCATATAAGGACCCAGGAGGACTCGTACCCGCCAGGCCGTATGAATACACGTCTTAGGGCCCCTGGAGAACAGGACAGGCGAGCACATGAGAATTTAAATATCCAGTTTCGCAAGCGGGACATTAGATTAATGGAAAGAGCCTGGAAACATGTGACGACCATCGAACAAAAGCTGTTGTTCTTTGAAACCTTGCGATACGAGAGGCGAGCAAGAACATGGAAGAGTTGTCCAGGACTTTTGGAGCGCACTCATACACTCCTCAGAAGCCTTTCTTTAGTCTTGTAAACTAGCTAGTAAGTCTGAAAGAGGAAGAGAATACCGGTGATAGTGAGGAGGTATTTATAAGCGACTGGAGTTTCATAGTTATAACAAAGTGTGAGTGTGTTTTGGTAGCCATTGGTCTTGATGTGTGGTGCTTTGCACTTCGCGGGAAGACAGGCAGGCAAAGTCATTGGTGTTGGGCGCATTTGTTTTGAAGCAAGCTCCGTTACATTGTCGAATAGCTCTTTTGGGGTAATTTGGACAGAAAGATCGAGTGCGTGAAGTAAAGGACTTGGAGCGACAGGCGGGCGACTTTTATGTCTAACCTTAGCGTCGCAGTATGACATGGTTGTGGGACCTATTTGTGCAGCCATGGCAAACACGTGTAGCGGCTTTTACGTACTTGCGTATGGTTCAGAAGCAGGAGGAGAAGCGCAGACATCATAAGCCCAGTCTTTTCTTTTGTTGCGCACTCATCCAAGACAGCGTCGCATTTCTTGGTATGGCAGACCTTCCGGCTGAGGGTAGGAAGTAGAAGACCTGAGGCGGCTGTTCAAGAACGATCGTGTCCAGCCGCGGTATGGTTGTATGATAGGAATGTGTGGAAGACCAGGGAAGGCCATGGAGAGCCTCTGCCCATGTTTAAGATGGATATCGTGAGCAGAAACGGGAGAAGAGGACATAGCGAATTAGAATCTGGCTTTTGGTGTACACTCATATGCTTTTCCCCTTTACTTTTCTAATGATACGGAGCAGAGGATAGAGAATAGGAAGTAAGAACAAAGCTCGCGAAAGGGGTGAATTTATGCCCAGCGGCGGCACCATGGTACGTCGAGATACCTCTGCCTCTTAAGCCATGAGACTGCACCTCTTGGCTTTTGATACATGTCAAGCAAGTCTGCAGGACGCAAGATCGTGCCGGCCATGATCCAGTTGAATAATGGTTTTGGACGTGAAAGAGAGCCGACAGGCGAGAACATAAGATCGTTGACTCTTAATTTGGCGCACACTCATCACCAAAATCCTTTTCAGTTTTGGTATATCTCGAATAATGATCGGTGGAGAATGAAAGGCAAGAATCTCCTGAGAAGGAGAGTTTTAACATGCAACTGCCGCGCCGTAACGTGCAAAGAAGCGCGCAAAATCTCGCCAGCCATAAAACATCTAGCGAACATTTTAAATTCGGAAGGCAAGGCAGGCGAGAACATATAGGCTGCATTTAGAACTTTTCGGACTCACACACATAACCCTTCAAGAATCTGAATTTGGTCTTTCGTAGGCAAAGAGGTTGTGGAAGGAAGAGAAGATCATCCAGACAGATGCTATCAGATCCTTATACTTCCAAAAGAAGGAAGTAAAGTAAGAAGACCGGAGAGCTGGACCTGGCCATGGAATTCATGAACCAGGCATTTCAGATCAGCCCAGCGAGCGGAAGGGCAGCCGAGACCATTCTCTCTATGTCTCAGGTTTTTGGACTCGCACTCATCACGATCAGTGCGTGTTAGTTTTGGGTTTGCAAACTGGTGGTTTGAAATATTAGAAGACAGTATTCGGAAGGAAGAATCTAGTAGCTTTTATAGAGCAGCGAAGTCGAGTAGTGTGGTAGGCAGAGTGGAATGATCGTGCTGGACGTAATGATGATACAGTGGCTTTTTGAGTCGGGAAGAAGGAGGCAGCCGGAGAACATGATTAGAATGGTGTTGGATTTTGAGTCCACA